ATAGACTTTGAAAAACATTGATTTCTTTGGGGATCAATCCTAACTGAGAATTTTTATTTTGTGATTTCCTTAAAAAAAAAATCAAGACATTATACCTAGCAAGTTTGAAATATTTTGCATTTCACAATTCCTATGTTGATAAATGTAACTATAAAAATACTTTGCTTCCCTGTTCATCACCAGTCCTGCTTCCAAAGCCATGTGATCACCGCAGATGTGTATGGTCCTCTGACCTTGTAGCCTCTTCCATGCCAAATGCACAATTTTGCTGAATCTCCCTTAGTCTTGCAGCTTTCTTCACATACCCACACTTTCTGTTCATGATCCAAATTCAGATGCTAAGTTGTGAAAGCATCAGTCCACTCGTGCAGAACTGTTGGGCTGGGGCTATTATACCCCTCTTATGAACAGTTTAGCAGCTTTTTAAAAGATTCTGCTAGGTGCTTCTGCACTTTCAGGATCTCTATAATCCGGTCTGAATCTTCGTAGGCTTTAAGAAAGCAGTGAAGAGGTGATTTGGGAACTTCTCTATTTGTTCGGAAGATGTAGGCATCGGTGACTCAACCAGCATTCATCCCTCATTGCCCAAAGGGTAGTTTCATCAGCCACATTGCTGTGGGTCTGGAGTCACATGTAGGGCATACCAGGTTAAGGATAGAATTTCCTTCCCTACACTCCTCCATTAGTGAACCAGATGGGTTTTTCCATAAGTCTACAGTGGTTTTGTGGTCATCATTAGACTTTGTTTATTGGCGTCAGACTCCATCTGCCACAGTCAAATTTCCAAAGGTCCCCAGAACATTCCCTAGGTCTCTGGATTAATAGTGGGTAGCAATAATACCAGTAGGCCATTGCCTTTTGAAGAGGACGTTTTGGATATTGAACGAAGCTGAAGTTAAGTGCTAGGAAAGGAGGCATATCAATGATGTCAATTTAGTCATGCAAGAAACTGTTTAGAATGAGTCTGTTTATACGTCTGAACTAAGTTACAGGCCGCATAAACTTGCCACCATGAAAGCAAATCCAAATTGGTGGGATTTGCTGCAAATGGATCTGGGTATCACTGTAAATGCAGCTGCACCAAGTTATTAAAGCAATTGGAATGTCAACCTTGCTTGCCAAGGAGTTGGAGTGTAAATGTATTGTTGCAACACCTAGGTGTTGTGTACAATTTTGGCTCTTAATTAAGGAGGGACAGTCTTCTATTGGAAGCAATAGAGTGAAGGAATTGTCTTATGACTGAACAGGCTGGACATTAAAGACAACCTCATTCTAAGCTGTAAATATAAGACTGAGTTTGTTGGGGTTGATGCTGGGAGATTTTCCCCTCAGCAGTGGTTATCGAGAACCATGGGATAGTTTTGAAGTTTTCTGAAGGTGGTGTTGGAATTCTGTTATCCTGCAAGTAGTGAAAGCTGGGTCATCAAATTAAAGAGACTTGATTGACAAAGATGTTTTGAGGGGGTGGGGAAAGTGAGAAGAATGTTACTGAATGGCAAGTTCAGTTTGATGGACTAGACCATAGATCATAGAATCCCTACAGTGTGGTAACAGGCCGTTCTGCCCAACGGGTCCACACGGACCCTCGGAGCACCCCACCTAGACCCATCCCCCTACAATCCACCTAACTTGCACATCGCCGAACACAATGGGCAATTTAGTATGGCCAATCCACCTAACCTGCACATCTTTGGACTGTGGGAGGAAAGCCACGCAGACACGGGGAGAATGTGCAAACTCCACACACAGTTGCCTGAGGCTGGAATCGAACCTGGGTCCCTGGCGCTGTGAGGCAGCAGTGCTAGCCACTGTGCCGCTCCCTAAATAGTCTAGGCTTTCTGATGCTATTTATTTATTAATACTAGTAAATCCAAGCTTTAATGCAATAGTTCTGCTGAAGTGTCTCTAGATCTGAAATGTTGACACTGCTTTCTCTCAACAGATGTTGCCAGACCTGTTGTTTATCCACCAATTCCTCTTTGTTCTGTATTGCATGTTGACAGCTGAATGTTGCCAAGTATCTCCTTTTTATAAGGAGCTTGTGAATTGTGCACATTTATTTAAAAATTTCACTGCAAAGGTTTTGAAGTAGATTTGTAGCTTGGGTTGTGGTCGGTTGGCTCACTGAGCTGGTTTGTTGTTCCGCAGACGTTTCATTACCCTTCTGGGTAACATCATTTCCAGTTTGCCTGTCTCTGCTTTGCTTGTCCCAAGATCTTGGTGTTGTCCCAGTCGAATTGGTGGTTCCAAGATCCTGGGACAAGCAAAGCAGAGACGGGCACTGGAATTCCTAGAAGCCTGGTGCTCCACTCGGAAAGCCATCAACAAACAAGTAGAACTCGACCCCGTATACACTCCACTACGAAGGAAAACTGGAAGTGAGGTAATCCAGCTCAACGGACTCGAGTTTAAAAACCAGGCAGGAAAACACAACGGCGCTTCATCAGAGGCTGCACTGATGATGTTACCCAGCAGGGTAATGAAACATCTGCGGAACAACAACGAACCAGCTCGGCAAACCAATCAACCACAACATTTCACTGCAGAGCCTTGTCTGTGGATCTGTCAGTGCACATTATTCCTGCAGTTGTCATTTCAAATGAGCTCAGTCAGCATTAATAAAAATTGTTTTGACAGACCTAATAGGACTATGGATTATAGCGCAACTATTTAAGTCATCAAACCAGTCTTTGGTAGACTGCTTAACTGCTCTTTTCAAATAGTTAATGAAAAAAGTTTAATGTTATTTGAGGTTGATGCCAAGTCATCATGCAAATAGATGGTGATGATAATTTAGTATTGGAGGGGGAAACAAGTTCCACTGTGCCGCCTTTATCATGAAGGACTCTTAGATAAAGTTCCATATTTCCTAATGTAAGGACCTAAGAGCTCTTGCGGTAGAGAACATTTTACCTGAAGCATTAAAGGAATACCTGCATCCTGAATGCTGCCACTGTCAGTAAGAGGTGATGGTTACTAAACGTAGGATGGGTAAAACTTTAAAAATTAGATGGGAGGTACTCCAAAGGTTTTCGTAAGAAAGTAAGGTTGGCTGGTCCAATAGAATGCATCCTCCATTTAGGGAAATATTGAAATTGTGGTGGTTCTAATCACTTTTTTTTCCTAATCATCCTTTAATCCTCTGCAGCAAGCCTAAATCACTGGATTGTAAGTGTTGCACTTCTCAAAGAAGGGGCGATAAGGAAAATCTCTTTCCAGTGCCTTAAGTAACCAGTGGGCTGTGATTTGAGGATTTGACTCAGGCAATATGGGGGGCAGGAAAAAAATGGATGCTGAATAATGTGGAATATATTACCTTTTTAGACTGGCAAAGCAGAATCAATAGCTTTTTTTCAGTGGGAATAAAGGTTTGTTTTTCTTGGGGGTGTGGGGAAGGAGAAGAGTGGAAACCAGTAATCCCTAGCAAAGTGGGAAGCCAGATTTTCTAAATATTTTTTGAAAAGTGAACACGATTGGACATGTGGCCTCCTGCACAGTATGCACTATAGTAACTAACCGACTTGTACAACAATGCCTTTAACCCTGTGACAGCATCCACCATGAAGGATAGGGCAGATGCATGGGAGCACTGCTACCTCCCAAGTTCTGCTGCAGACCTCTTGCCGTTCTGACTTGGAACTGAATCACTTTTTTTTTTAACTAATGAAAAGTTGTGTGGAACTTCCTTTCTAACAGCAACTTGCAGTTCAGAAACAATGCAGTTGAATTGGGTCTGTAGTGTCCACATCCTGTGAATGATTTTCCCAAAAAAAAACTTTTGAATATCTTTGCCTCAAGGTATGCACCCCTGACAAACAGAATTGGCAGTATTTGCCTAATGGTCACTATTTTTAATTGACCGTGTTCTTAAATTACTTTTTAAGCATAATATTAAAGCACTGGATTTAAGTTTTAAAAATTGCTGAGTGAGATGCTATAGCTGGAGTTTTGACCCTATCAATTTTGCAGTCTTTTCAATTGAAGAGCCAGAAAAATGAATAGTATTAATGCTTCTAATTTGTTTGCACTTTCTTTTTTACTTAAAACAAGATCATTCATGTCTCAATGCATCAATTATGTTCACTCTCTTCTTTGAACTTTACCTGTGTATCTTTCGCCTCCAATGTGCTTATCTACCTTTCCCTATAAAAACATCTGTTATCTGTTCCCACTGCTTCAAATATTAACTCTAGCTGGAGACACTTGTCACCGCAATCATGGACTTCTCCATTGCACGTAACGTGGTATTTCAGGAAAAGGCAAGTGACCTTGAGCAACAAAAGGATGGGAATTAATTTTTGTGCTTGCTGTTATCAGCCTCATCCTGAGGGATGGTGCCATGGACTGAAAACAGCTAGAAAGATAAACTTGGAATGCATTTTGAGAGGAGTGCTTTTAAAGCTATTGATTGCACTACGTCTCTTGCCAGCATCATTGTATTAATTTCCAACTGGAATCTGTTAGAAAAGCAACCTTACAATCAAGGCAAAATACATTAATGTTTCAGGTCAATGATTTGTCAATTTCCCTCTGACTCCCTGGTCTGAGCACTTCCAGCATTTTGTTTTTATTTTGCATCTCCAGCATAATTTTGCTTTTTCAGTAGGGATGTTTAAATATGTAACTAGCATTTGCTGTTTCTCATGCTCCTAGTCTCACTGACATGTGTAAACTCAACTAAATTTAAGGGCAGAAGTCACCTTTTTAAACACCTGTAGCCATAGTAATGGATTTAATAGCTGTTTGAGCATAATCCTACTTTCACCCTTTTTGGGGGGGGGGGGGGGGGGAAAAAAATAGGGGTATCCTTAGGAAGGTAATGTAAGAAAAGATATCTCTGCTATGACTCTGCTTGGTATTCTCAAGTACTTGGGTGTGGAATCTATTGCAAGATGGTATGGAGATTTTCTTTTTTAAAAGTGGATTCTTGAATTGACTTGTGGTGTTTTTGAGGATGAAATAAATACTGCCATTCTAAATTTTCCGTTTTCTGTTTTCAGAAATGAGTCGTCAGACTGCCACAGCACTCCCTACTGGTACATCAAAATGCACTCCTGCCCAAAGAGTCCCAGCATTGGCAGGAACTACAGCCTCCAATAGTGATTTAGCAAGTCTTTTTGAGTGTCCAGTCTGCTTTGACTATGTACTGCCACCAATTCTTCAGTGCCAGAGTGGCCATCTTGTCTGCAGTAACTGCCGTCCTAAGCTTACATGCTGCCCCACTTGCCGGGGCCCGTTGGGTTCCATTCGCAATCTGGCAATGGAAAAAGTGGCCAACTCTGTACTGTTTCCTTGTAAATATGCCTCTTCAGGTTGTGAGATAACACTGCCACATACAGAGAAAGCAGACCATGAGGAACTCTGTGAGTTCAGGCCATACTCATGTCCTTGCCCTGGTGCTTCTTGTAAATGGCAGGGTTCTCTGGATGCTGTAATGCCACATCTGATGCATCAACACAAGTCCATTACAACCTTGCAGGGTGAGGACATAGTTTTCCTGGCCACAGACATTAACCTTCCAGGTGCAGTAGATTGGGTTATGATGCAATCTTGTTTTGGCTTTCATTTCATGTTGGTCTTAGAAAAACAAGAAAAGTATGATGGCCACCAACAATTTTTTGCCATAGTACAACTAATTGGAACACGCAAGCAAGCTGAAAACTTTGCGTATAGACTTGAACTCAATGGCCACAGACGACGACTGACTTGGGAAGCAACTCCTCGCTCCATTCATGAGGGTATTGCTACAGCAATTATGAATAGTGACTGTCTGGTATTTGACACTAGCATTGCACAGCTTTTTGCAGAAAATGGAAACTTGGGAATTAATGTTACAATCTCGATGTGCTGAAACTGACATTTCCACATTCTCTTGTCAGTGGCCAGTATAGGGGCAGTAAATGCTGTACAATGAACTTGAATATTGGATGTATTGTATAATGTTTGCTGCCAGGTCTTTATCAGACTGGCTTCTTGATTGTTCAGCATCTGGGTCATGGTGGTAATGTGAAGAACTGGTTCACAGTTTATAAAAAAAAAAATTAACACTAATTATAAATGCAGTAAACCACTGAATAGAAACCCTCTTTGTAGAAGGTAGTACTATGAGCCTAAAGGAAAAAGGGCATAAAAACAAATGCAAGTACTACAATCTTGTTGTTCATTTTGTAGTTTTAATTTTGATTGTGTAATGTCAGCTAAAAGGTGTTAACCATTTGTGTTCTGATGTCTCTTTACTGACGAGCCATTTTGGGCAGATTAAGTTGCTGCTTTTCTCACTTACACTACATACAACTGCTGCTGTCTTGTGTAATTTTGTGTATGGCTTTTTATGAACTTCTTCAGTTTCCTTTCTTGGTAAAACCAGTACCTTTTTTAAAACTGTTTATTTCATTTATAATCCTATTCAGTTTACAGGCTAGAAGTTCATACTGATATTCACTTGTTTCCATGTTTGCCCAAGGTACTATGTTCCTGGTTAATAAAACAATTTCAAGTGAGTGCTTTCTAAATCCTGAAAATGCTTCAGTTACAGCATCTAATTACATTGGATGACTAAACCAACATGTAATGCACTTTCATTAGTTATTCAGTATGAATCAAGATTAATTTGAATGTTTAAAAGTTTAAAGCATCTGCAGGTTTATTATTCAGATCATAATCTAAAACATCATACAGTAAGATACTTGGCCTTTTTTTAATCCTCCCCCCCCTCCCGTTATGCTCATCTCCCTTTGCCAGCTCCAGCTGGAGCTGTCTCATAGCCACTGGCTTTTAGGGAAATCATTTCAACCATACAAGAAAAGGAACAAAAGATTTGGATGCCCAACTGCTGTGGAGAAAGTAGACTGGAGCTATTGCACGAATACAGTGTAAACTTCAGAAGCTCTTTTCCCAGTTATTTTAAGAAGACCTCTGCTCTCCGAAACAAATACCTACTTTAAAATATTTTATCTGGATGTGACTAGCTAGCTGATTCTAGAATTGCTAAGCCAGTCTATTCTATCTACAGTTTAAAATGTATTTTGCTTAAATGCAGTGAGTTGCATGCCTAGCTTTTTAATTTTCTTTTGTACAAGATAAATTGAAACTTCCACTTATTGTTCCTCCTTTTTCATTTAATTTTGTGATCATGTTTTAATAACTTGCAACTACTTGCCTGAGTGGTTTTGAAACCTTGTCATTTCACTGTGCATGAAGGTTCAGCTGTGGTTACAGTTGCACAGATTTTCAAGCATCTGCAAACTAGATTTAAAAGTGTTAACTAATTGTAAATCTTTCAACTTTTTCTCTAGCAGTATATATCCCAGGTATATGTAAATTTGAGACCTATTCATAGTCTGATTTTTAAAGTGAGAAGTTTTGAATTTCTTCCCCCAAACCTCACCCTGACACCAATGTAGCCGAGTATTTAGTTTTGTTTTTATCTTTAAAACATTGAGGTTCCTCTCTGATTTAGATGGTCCCCCTCCTTTTGGTTTTGTGCTTTTAAAACTTTAGTGGCAGTTCAATACTGCTTAGAACTGATGCAACATCTTCCCAATAACGAGCAGTTTAACAACTTAACGTAATAAAAGATGATCTACACCTGTAACTTATTTTTGTGAATTTTAAGGAACTGAATTTGAGTACTAAACCAGTTGTTGTACAATGCTATAACATTTCTGCATTAGGCAGGTATTTTTAATTTTTTTCAAACTTCAGTTTAAGGAAAGCAACTTCAATTCTCCAATTGCCATTATTTAAAGCGTTACACTGACAATATGTATATCAACAGTATTTATGTTTAAACTCTAATAATAGATCTCTGCAGTTGAGTAAATCACATTGCATAGTGACTAATGTTCTTGCAGTAACTGGATTACTTTTAATAGTCTGCACAGTAACTTCTGAAATTGCAGAACTTTGTAGCTTTTTATACTCATCCCAACCAAACAATATCATCAGTGTGCATAAGATGACCTCCTACAATGTATTGACAACAAAATCTCATGCTTGTGGAAAGGCATTCACACACTTGTCTGAGCAAACTGTTTAGCTATCTTAACTAGCATATACTTCAGATAAAATTGTTCTATTAAGCTTCCAGGTGACTTATTTAAATACCTTCATGTAACAAGGTGAGGATTTGTTCAGGAAAAATTTCCAAAGAGGCAGTGCCAGTAGTATAAATGCAGCTGCCAGATGGCTAAATACACAGCATTTTTTCTCTGTAAAAGTAATGGAAGCTTATGACTGACTTGATTTAACTATTGAATGTGTAATCAAACTATTTCAGTCCTTTAAAGTACACTATGATCTAAGCTTGTGAACAATTTTACTTAGTTACAATGTAATACAGATTAAATTTCTGCTTTCACTTTTATGGAAGGAGCCAAATCATAAAATCTGAATAACTAGATATAGTATTGCAGCAGTAGCACTGGTAACTGTAAGAAAAATCCCTTTTCTGTTATGGGTGTTCTATTGTGTGAAGTATGTGGAATTTAGCCACTTATTGTACAGTATACTACCTCTAGCTTCCAGTCACGATACTCCTTTTTCTTAAACTTGATTTGGAAGTAATTTTTTTTATCCAAGGCCTGTTTCATTCTCTCCCTCTGTTCTGCTGCCTGACCCTCCCTGACCTTTAAAGTAGCTTTATGGTAGACCCATTTTCTTGATGCTTAAAACCATGCTGTTGTACAGTAAATGATGCTGTGTAAGCATTACAGTTAGTCTTTTATACTGTTCTGCCTGAAACTTGATTTATGTGTTTATGCTTCATTTGCATTTTAAACTCCAATAAAAGTTTATCACTATCCATTCACTGTTGGCTTTTTTGTATTTAAAACAGTTGAGACTAAACTCTCCAAGAAATAAATTTTAAAGCTTCAGATCAAAAACTTGCTGGTTCCTTTTACATTCGCAAAGAACTACAAATAGTTTCACTAGAATCCTGCTAACCTGCTCCAACTCTTAACTTTATTTTTGCTACATCCTCAAACTTTTTCAATTCTTTTTTTTTTTCTTTGGCAAAATTGGAAATGTTACATTTGCTACTGCGCCCCCCCCCCCATCCAGATTATTACAGATTTGGGGTCCTGGCTGTATATTAATTTTGTTTTAATCTCTCACTCTCTGTCGCTCTCTGTGTGCACCCTTCTGAAAACCTGTTTCTTTTGGCTTCTCTCTCTTTCTTTTCTTTCTTCACCCCCGCCCACCCTTCCCCCGTTTGCTGTGCGTGTTCACCCTTTGGGTTTTTAAAAAGTCATTTAAACTTTCTTTCTTAAATCCCTGTTCATTCTGCCCAATACCATTAGTATTCTCCAAATGAAATGTGATATCCAGTAATGACTCAGTTTCATTACTGAAGACTGCAGATTACATTTCTGAAGAAATGAGCTCATTGGAAACCAACTAAACTTGTGTAACATCACAACAGAACTTTATTACATTTGAATCTAGGATGTACCCACCAGGCAGTACTCTACACAATTGGACTATGATAAGAGATGAGAAGCATTAACTAGGCAGTCCCTCAAGAAATAATACAGTACAATGACAATGAATTCCAATGGCTGGGAAGGCGGGAGGATTTAAGAAGGCTTAAAACTGTTTAGAGTAGGAGAACCTGCTGAGAGGTTGGCACTGACTATCGAAGATAACAGAGAAGGAAAGCCCTGCACGAGATGTGTTGAACTGGGCATAGACAAGTAATATAATGTGAATAGTTTATGTAATTATTACGTTAGTGAGTTATCTTTAGTGTGATTAAAGCATTGTGATACAGTTATTGCTATCTATGCCCCCCTTTTGCAATTCTGAGGGCAGCAAACCAGGCCAGACACTCCCTATTTGATCACCCCCAATTACTGGATTTTTTTTTTCCTCTCTATTAATATCAAAGTTGGATGGGACTGGAGATCTGCTTCAAATGTTTGCCAACAGACCTGATGTGTGCGTTGGATAATTAAGTGGAAGTAAAGCTTTTGGGTATGTCTGATTCTGCACTCTTTGACGTTTTGGCCCCAGCAAAAGAGAAGATAGGGGATGTCCTTCAAAGAAATATGCAATTTGAAATGCAGCAAGACAAAGGGAATTCTGCAGCAAGTTTACATAGGTGTTGGCGGGGTCCAAACAAACATGTCAGTTTTTGCTGGTGATTTGTGGCGGAATTGTAATGGCGTAAAAGGGCTGAATCTAAACAAAGAACTTCCAAGAAGACACTTGTGTCTCTCCCACTAACTCAGACTCGAGGCATATATGATGCATTTGAATCAGGACTATACCCCGAGGTTGCCACCTCAAACTCCAAGTGAGTGAGACATGATTTCGTATGCACGTAGCCATGCTGACTATCGCTAATCAGTCCTTGCCTCCCCAAATTCATGTACACCCTATTTCTCAATCCCCTCCATCAGATTACCCACGACTGATGTCAAAATCACTGATTATATAGTTCCTAGGCTTCTCCTTACAGTCTTTCTTAACTAAACGCACAACGTTAGCCACCCTCCAGTCCTCTGGCACCTCCCCTATTGGTATAGATAATACAGGTCCTGGACGTTTATTCACTTTTTTTTTTTTTTAAAAGACCTTCTGCACCTCTTACATAATGCGGACTGTTTTCAAGACATCAGTATTTATATCCCTGGGTTCCCTAGCCTGTATGTCTGTCTTCACTGTAAAAACTGATGCAAAAAAATATTCGTTTAGTTTCTTTCCCATTTCCTGTGATTCACACAGACATCCTTGTTGATTTTTAGGTGCCCTATTGTCTCCTTAGTTGCTTTTTTGCTGTTAATGTATTTGTACAATCTCTTTGGATTATTGTTTAATTTATCTGCCAAGGCTGTCTCTCATCCCACTTTTGCCCTCCCAAGTTCCCTCTTAAGAATGCCATTACACCTGTTATATTCTTGAAGAGGTTCACTTGTCCTAATTATCTATACCTAACATATGCCTCCTCCTTGACCAGAGTCTCAAGATCTTTTTTGATCTGCTGTTCCCTACTCTTGCCCATCATTTTAACAGGAACAATAATGCCTCTGAGCTCTCCTCATCTCACAATTGAAAGCCTCCCACTTGCCAATCATCCCTTTATCTGTGAACAGTCTACTCCAAATATTAAATCAAATGACTCGAGTTGGAGACACTTGTCACCGCAATCATGGAGTTCTCCACTGCATGCTTTTGCACGTAACGTGGTATTTCAGGAAAAGGCCAGGGAGGCAACATACTGTCCTGAATTTTCGCTCATGGCTGCAGAATCTCCTGTCTGTGCCCCTGACAGGAGATTTCCTATAACAATTGTTATTTTTAAGTGTGACACACCCTGCTTAACAAATTTTTCATTTTTGGTGCCCAAGTTGTGGTTGCCATTTCTGTTTTTCTCAGAGACTATCCTCCTCGAACAGTACCCAAAACATATCTGTTTGAGAGAGGATTAGCCACAGGATACTCCTGCACCACCTTCCTACCTCTCCTGATAGACATCCATCTATCTGACTGAACCTGTGATGTGACCACCTCTATAAATTTGCTAACTGTCATATTCTGTGCATCTTGTATGCTCCCATCCTTTCTTTTTTAAGGATTTGTAGGTTCTTGCTGTAAACATATTTGTGCAAAATGCTGCCCTCCTGCATGCTTTGTTATGGAAAAACGTACTTTTGGGGTTGGAATAATGAGCACACTCAGGCTATGGCTAATCTTAAGGAAGCATTATTATAGGTACCTGTATTCAAGGTTTCTTGTCCAGAGGAATTCTTTTGAACTGGAAGTAGCTGCAGGAGAGGACGCCCTTTCAGCAGTACCTTTTTAGGATAAATATGGTAGAATTTGTCAAGTGGCATACGACTCAAGCTTTGACAGCAGTGTAGAAGACCACTTGCACTTGTGAGCAATCTTCTGAGCATTGCTTATATTATAAGGCTTAGTCCCATAACAGTGTTAACAGAACATACACCTGTCCAGCTGCTATGAGATAGATGGAAATGTTTCCCAAAATTGCCTTGCACGTTGGACCCTACTGCTCCAAGGCAAGGACATACCTGGACAAAAAGCCCTGTATGACAGCTCTGTTGGCCTCACGTGTGTGAGGTTGTGACAGCTCAGGCCTCATGTCAAAACCTGTGGGGAGAGATGAGAGGAAAGCTCTGTTAAAATTCTTTGTAGATGGATCACCTATGGTTGAAGATGGTGTTAGAAAAATAGGATGTGGCATGTTGGTAATACAAAGCAATAGAACAGCGGATGGGATAAGCCTGAGACTGCCATCAGACATGTCGAGCCCAAGGAGCAGAGTTAGCTGCAGTAGCCTATGTAGTCATGCACTAACATAAATTCCCACCATCTTTGTATGTATACACGATGTATCTATGTTTGACAGAATACTCGCCTCCACAAGAAGGTAGGGGATATGTGACAGCAAATGGAAAGATGTTGTCATCTGCTCCCATTCTAAAGAAAATTTTTATGGCTGCCTCCTCAGCCAATAGCCAATATGGAATTAATCAAAAGTTCAGGCCCACAGTAAACCTGAGGCATGGGTAAAGGAAAATGGGAAGGCAAACCTATGCAAAAGGAGAAGCTGTTAGGTCAAGGATGGAACCTGAGGGAAAGTACTGATGTACAACTAGCAGTAGTGATGCTATCACAGGCATAGAAAACTTAAAGGAAACCTAAGGAAAGGGCCATTAGCTAAAGTTAATCCAACAAGAACCCTAATTTAAATGGCCCAAAGAATATAAAAAGGAGGAAAATAGAATAGGGTTAACAGAGGGATTTATATTAAGGAATAGGTTATATTTATAATGCCTGCACAGGATTGAAACCAGATAATCTATCAGAACGATGATATGATGGGCATCAAGGCTTTGAATCCATCCGAGACCCAAAGTAAACGGCTATGCTGTTGCTCTGGTACGGGAAAAGACATAAAATGTAGAACACTGAGATAACAAGGTGTAGAGCTGGATGAACACTGCAGGCCAAGCAGCATCAGAGGAGCAGGAAAGCTGACGTTTCAGGTCTAGACCCTTCTCCAGAATCTGCAGTTCCTACTATCTCTGAAACAAATGTAGAACACTGTCTTGTTTGCACTCAGAATAATCCAGACCTAAATGCAAACAAGGTAGAATTGAGGCGTACACAACCAGTGGCAGGACTCTGGACTCAAATGTCAAATTGATTATGTAGGCCCATTGTCTGCCTGCAAAGGAGCTTATAAGTACATCCTAGTCATAATAGACACTTCCAGCAATTTTCCTACTATTAACAATACTGATACAGTAGGATTTCAAAAGATGAGGATTGCCTAGGTATTAGACTCAAATCAAGAGTCACACTTTACTGCCCAAGTGATTCAGTTGGCAATGAAATTGCTAGGAATACAACAGAAATTCCATAGAGTCTATCATCTGTAATCCAGCAGAACTGTAAAAAGAATTAATAGAACTTCAAAAACTATTCTAAGTAGTACAGCAGAACTGTACAACCTGGGTCAGTGTTACCCTGTGTCCTAATGGTAGTGTATCCAGTTCTGCTGGATTTACACCTCATGAAGTAATGGCAGGGAGAAAGATGAGGGGGTTGAGTTCTTCTGAGAAATAGATTTACCAGAATCACAACTAGAGACTACCAGCCATGAGACCTATGTAAAGAACCCCTGCTGTGTTCATCCAGCCCTGCACCTTGTTGTCTCGGATTCTCCAGCATCTGCAGTTCCTACTATCTCTGATTCAATTTTAACCCCACTGCGAAGCCTCTTCTAAGGATGCCTAACCTGAAGAAGTTACCCTCCTCCCTCCGGACAAACCT